GATCAAATCTACCCCGACGCCCACTTGCTCAACGCGCAAGTCATACCAACACTCTTCGAAGAAATCAAAATAGGACAACAACAGGACCCGGAACTAGATAAGATCCGTCGCGACCTGACCCAGGGGAAGGAAGGGCCCTTCAAAATACACGAAGACGACAGTCTCCGTTACCAAGGAAGATGGTGCGTGCCCTCAACGCGCCCCCACTTGAAACAACAAATCTTGGAAGAAGGACACAACTCCCCATACTCAGTTCACCCAGGAGGTGACAAACTATACCAAGACATAAAAAGGTCATTTTGGTGGCCCAACATGAAAAAGGAGATCGCGGATTTCGTGGCCAAGTGCTTGAATTGCCAAAGGGTGAAGGCCGAACGATGCAAACCCAAGGGACTCATACAACCCCTTGAGATACCACAAGGAAAGTGTGATTCCATATCCATGGACTTCGTCGGAGGATTACCCCCAACGAAGACCGGCAAGGATAAGATTTGGGTCATAGTGGACCGACTAACCAAAACTGCGCGATTCATCGCTATGAAAGAAACGTGGACAATGACGCAACTAGCCCAAGCCTACTTGAGTCGAGTTGTGAAGTACCACGGAGTCCCCCGAAACATTGTATCCGACAGAGACTCCAGATTCCTCTCACAATTCTAGAAATCCCTGCAACTAGCCTTGGGAACACAACTAAAACTAAGCACCGCCTTCCACCCCACCACGGACGGCCAGATCGAGAGAACCATTCAGACTCTCGAAGACATGCTAAGAGCCTGTGTGTTAGACTTTCAAGGGACATGGGAGGAACACCTAGACCTTATCGAATTTCATACAACAACAGCTACCACGCAAGCATTCGTATGGCGCCCTACGAAGCTCTATACGGACAAAAGTGTAGAACCCCCTTATGTTGGGAAGACATGGTCAACCCAATAGCACTAGGGCCCCAACACCTACAAGATACCATCACCAAGATCAAGCACATCCGGGAAAGGATGAAGACTGCCCAGGACCGCCAGAAGTCCTATGCCGACCTAAAGAGGAAACAAGCCGAGTTCAATACTGGGGACAAGGTTTGGTTGAGAATCTCACCCACACGAGGGGTGATGAGATTCGGAAGAAAAGGGAAGCTCAGCCCGCGATTCATCGGCCCCTACGAAATCATAGAAAGAGTTGGGAACATAGCCTATCGCCTCGCGCTACCCGTTGAACTAGAACGAGTACACAACGTATTCCACATATCCCAGCTAAAGAAATACGTGCACGACCCGAGCCACGTGCTTCAACCCGAGGTCGTGGACCTCGACGAGTCACTAGTATACGAAGAAAACCCGTGAGAATCCTGGACACCAAGACGAGAACCACACAACGACGAGCCATAGAAATGGTAAAAGTTCTCTGGACCAATCTTGGGACCGACGAAGCAACATGGGAACTCAAGGGCACGATGAGGGAACGCTACCCCGAACTATTCGCACCAGGTAACTAGGAAGAAGCCACTCGACAAGGACCAAGCTTCGGGGACGAAGCTTCCTGTTAAGGGGGGGAGAGTGTAACACCCCGTGTTACGATCCCTAAAATCAATTAAATCATTTAATCAACTACCCAAAAGAAATAATTAAATCACAATAATTAATTAGGAAAGGCCCACCATAGTCCACGGGCCCTTATCCCTAAACCCAATCCTTAGTCCCAAAAGGAATAGAATTAGCAAGCCTATAATATTAGTCCCTAACTAGGACTCCTAAATATATAAATAGGGAACATAAGGAGGCACCTAGAATCCCCACCACAATAATCCCTCACCACACAAGAAGTTCCAAGAATTCCCCTAGGAGAAATCAAGAAAGCAAGAAAGCTTCAAGAAAGACCCTTCATAGCCAAGGAATTAATTAAGGCTAAGAGGTAACCCATGTCTCAACAAAACCTATTTTCATAGCTATGATTCCCCCCCGTAGGATTCCCCATATTATTGTGTATTGATGATTTGTGATATTATTATTGATGATTGATGGGATAATTCCATGGGTGATCTTGATGATAAAAGGTTCTTGATAATTATGGTGTTCTTGATGATTATATGACGTTCTTGATGATTATATGATGTTCTTGATGATTGTAGGATGTTCTTGATGTTTATATGATATTCTTACCGAATCTTGATATTGGAAGATGAATTGTGTCCTTGTTGATTTAAAAATGATTAGAACCCTAGGTTGTATCGTATGGAATTATTCTTGGTATATTGGGTGGGAATTCGCATGATTGGGTGTTGATTATGTTTAGAAAAGAATGATAGGTTATGTGCCATATGTTTCTCGATCTTTGACCCGTTAATTGTCTACGTGTGTTATCAATTGCGTTTGAAAGTGTCTAAGCATGGTTTCGGGTTCCACAAAGGTTCCCGGGGCGTTTTTGGTGAAAAAGAGTCAGTGGGGGGGTAGGGGACCCGCCACCTACCCGCGGCCTTCTTGGGCAACGCCGGCAGCGGGCAGCCGGCGGGCGGGCAGGCAGCTGCCCGCCGGGCACCCGCTGCCCGGATTAGCTGCCGCCGGCGGGTGATCCGTCACCCACCGGCTACCCGCTGGTTTGGACCCCACTTTGGGATTTTGGCTTCCCCGTTTGATGTTCCCCCGACCCCCGTGGTGTCCCAACGGACTCCGTCTATCGTGCCTATGTCTAGTTTGATATTTCGGGTACCGTTCGTAGGTTGTATGAATCTTATATATTGCATGTTAGTTGAATTGGCATCCCGTTGACCTAGGTGAAAGAAGTATGAACCCCTTAGGATTATTCTTAGTATGTGAAGAATCACGCATAGGTTTTGTTATACGTTTTCTCCCCCTTCCCAATGTGTTAATGTGGGTTGCATGTGCTTGCTATGTGTTATGTGTGCATGATACCCCTATTCGGTTGCGATCGGATTGGTTATTCCTGAGCTGCGGTTCAGAAGCTGGCTGCGGTCAGATTTACACTCTTGGGCTGCGGTCCACCGTTTGGTTGCGATCAAACGTTTCTACATGAGCCGCGGTTCATATTTCCTGGCTACGGTCAGATGACATACTCTTGGGATGCGGTCCACTGTTTGGTTGCGATCAAACTATGATGAGCTGCGGTTCATCGGTCGGTTGCGATCGACCCCTCCGTGTTGCGATACGGGGCAGGGTGCTGCGGGGCCGTGTCAGAGCTATATGCGCTGACCCTCATGTATGGGCATGCGATTGGTCCTGTGGCGCCAACAAAGTGTGCTATGTGATGATATATGGAGGAGTTGTTGTTATGAGTGCCTTGGGGATGTGACTATGGGATTTAGACTGGGAATCGTATATGTTGGTTATGATCATTAATTGTGCTTATCTTACCTGCCTTGCCTGTTGTAAACTGTATATGCTTGGTATAACTGCTGTCCGTGCTTAGCCCTATCTGTTGAGTCGATCCCTGTTTTAAAAGCTAGAGTCTCGTAGGATATATCTTCATGCTTCAAATTGGTTTTCATATATCTATATATATGTCTATTTGTATTGTATTTCAACGCGTTGGAGTGGGTTACCAGCATCTCTCGCTGAACAGATATATTTGGCTTTCAGGCACAGAAGAGTAAGTCACTGGAGTGCGCTAGAAGTAGATAGTTTCCCTTTAGGCCTGCGTGCCATGTCTATGCGTTTACATTATTGAGGATATTAGTTAGTTAGCCGGTGCACCTGAGTTCTCTAGCTTAGGTGTGGCATAGCACCCCGTACTCTTGTATTATGCTTTGGGATTTAATGAGATTTCACCTTTACTTTACAAGTTTTAAATATCTTGAAAATCTGGGGTGTTACACCCCGTGTTAAGGCCTTTAACCCAAATTAATTATTTAATTACTTACCCTCAAAAGGGGATTAAAATTCCTTAATTAATTAAGAAGTGTCCACCATAAGCCATAGACCCTTATCCCTAAACCAAACCCTTAGTCCTATAAGGAATAGAATTAGTAAACCCATATCATCGAGACCCTAATTAGGACTCTTAGTTGTATATAAGGACATAGGAGACACCTAGAACTCACACCACAATAGCTTTCACCACACAAGAATTCCCACAGAAGAAATCAAGAAGAGGAAATCTTAGAAAAAGACCCTTTATAGCCCAGGATTCTAATTAAGGTTAAGAGGTAACCCATGTCGCAACAAAACCTATTTTCCTTGCTATAATCTTCTTCTTTGGCTCCTTTTGATATACAATTCTATGCTTGTGTCTTGATAAATCGTTTATGATGATTATATTATGATCTTGATATTGATGAGATGATCTTACATGTTGATTTTGATAATCTTGATGAATTTGATAATTGTGTGTTGATTCTTGATAAATCTTGGTGTTCTTGATTTTAAAGATAAGGTATAATTTTGTGATTTAAATATGATTTGAGCCCTAGGTTGAATAGTGAATTTCGTATTGTGATTTTCTTGGTATATTTGGGTGCACTACAAAAAAACGCGTAAATAGCGACGGACCAATTCCGTCGCTAAATAGGGAAAATCCGTCGCTAAACACTTTAGCGACGGATTAGCGACGGAATCGATCCGTCACTAAAAAGCCCATCGCTAGATCTTAGCGACGCAAAATAATTTCGTCGTTAAGTTTAGTGACGGAAATTTCCGTCGCTAAGCAAAAACAATCCGTCGCTATTTTCCTCTCCGCGACGATTTAATGACGAAATTTGTGAGGGAATAACGACGGACTCTTCCGTCACTAAATATAACGTCGGAAATTTCCGTCGCTAATTTGTTTCTATTATTTGCATTGGATGCCATTTAACGATAACTTAGTGACGGAAGTATCCGTAGCCAAAATTTAACAACTGATTTTTCCGTCGCTATTTCTTTGACATTCTTTATTGTTATTAGGTATTTAGCTACGGATTTACTACAATATTTTTCCGTTGCTAAATTTTAAAATTTTAAAAAAAAAATTCTACCCGCTAATTAATATCACATACATACATTAAATCTATAATATAATTGTAAAATATATTATATTAATATTAAAACATTCAAATTCAATAATAATAACAAAAATATAGCACTATGTAATGTTACATCATTAGAAACAGTACCAATCAGTCATCCCAGAAGCCCAACACTTTGTGGTCCAATCTAGTTCCTTCTTTGACCAGAATCTTATAATAGCATCCTCTCCACTGGTCCAACTTGTGCACCATCGTTGTTAACATGCATCCATTCCTTCAATGGCTCCATAAAAGCAGTAGCAGCTATTAAGTTAGACTGCAAAGGTATATCAGTTCTCTCTGAAGCTTCATGAACTACAGTTAGCAGATCAACACCAAGTACACAACCACCAACCATATACATGCCTCTATATTGGACAAAACGTTCATCAATACCTGCAAAAATGGAAAAGTATTTCAGTTCATCTCAATACCTGCAAAAGTGGAAAAGTATTTCATTCAGAAAAAAGAAACAGCCCCAGGTCAAATTAAAGTTACATAAGTCAGTTCAGCATGGAGCAAATAAAACCAATGCAATATATAAAAAATTGAAGCAAAAAATCTCGTCATTCTATAAATTGCATGAGGCAAACTTTGGTGAAATCATAAAATGTAAAAGACACTGCAGAAGGGTTATTTAAGAGGTGAGAACGGTGGAAGAAAAAATCAGCCACTTTAAAGAACATGTCAGCCAATAGATTTATACACAATTTAATGCCTAGCAGAGAAAAAAAGTGTTGGCAATATTTCGATGCATCTATTATAAAAGCAAGTGTCTAGCAATGAGGTGGTAAACACAATTGATAAGAGATTGGCTCTACAAACATTCTACTACTGTGTCTACATCACAGCTAATCAAGAATTGACTGACCTCAAGTAAATAATTTTGAAAAGGAAACAGTAAGTTACACTGTAATGCTTGTGTGAACCATATGGTTGTTCAATAAGGTCACCAAGATTCAATACTTCCATTATCTGTTTGCACCAACAACTCGTATGAATCAATTTGATAAAAAAAAAAAAAGGAACAAAAAGAAGAAATATATAAACATTTCATTTGATTATATACTTAATTGTATTTCTACTTTGCCAGAAAAAAATATGTACCTACAACCAAAAAACAGTGTCACAACCCTGCATAATCCAAATGCTAAGATCGGGAAATTCATAAAATGAATACTCTTGTCTCCCAAATCCTAATTATTTACCTAACCTTCATGAAGAATTTCAAAATATGCAGTACTTTGGTTGTGAAGAAACTGAACTTGGCCTTCTCCTCTAACTGCAGAATTACAAAATAAATAGAAATCACTAAGCAAGCACCACATTATAAAGTTTGAAAGAGAAATTAGCAAAGACTATTCCCACACTAGCAAGTCACAGAATTTCAATGCATCCAAATCACATTCCTGGTTAAGGAAACCTATTATAAAAATAACATTATGTACTAACTAATTCATATTTAATCAGGGAGGTACCGTATTGATCACAACTGACCAGACCACTTTCATGAATCCAGCAACTTACATTATTAATATACATAATACTAGGTCAACATAATGACATATTATAAGATCTAAGTTATAAACTATAGTTTCCCAGAAAATGGCTATGCTTCTAAAATATCAAAATGCAAGGACAAGCTTACCTCTTATCCGTCCATAATGTGAAAGATCCACAACCTAAAACACCAATGTGAAATATGTCTTTATCAATCAAAGTTCAGCAGCGTTAATATGAAAACTAGAAGGAAAGTGCATTACAGCTTATTAAGTGACTTTTTAGAGTTTGGAACAAAGAAAGTTCTGTCTGCCATCACAAACACATATCCTAATCCTATACTCAAATGATCATATTTGAATTAAGTCTTGAGATTCAACTCAACTTATAATTCTATTAAAATTGGGATTGGAAAATAAGTGGTTTATTATACTAGTTTAGTCTTAGTCTTGAGTTTTGGAAAAAAAGATATACTAATTAAGTCCATAAATTTTCTGTTGTGGTTTTTCTCATTTGGGCTCCTGATTAATTTCTTTTTGAGTTTCTACTGTTTCCCATTTCAGCTGTTAACCAGAATTCCACTCTTTCCCCAACATATTGCAATAACAATAGCAAATCAATCTTCTATTCTTTGTATAATAAATACAGAGATTATGAAGGAAAGAAAACATAGGAGAAAAGAAATGTTAGAAAACCTAAACCAGATTAGGCACCTACCGCAACTCCATTTTCAGCTGCATTTAAGGCCTCATCGTCATTGCCATAGCTTTCAATTACGTCATCCTCTAATACCTTTGCTCCAACAACTTTCATAGTATCCTATAAACTATAATGTACATAAAGTAATTGAATGTAAAGCAAAATAAAGAGTATATCAGCGTAATAAAAGAGCATGTAACAGTTAACAGCAACAAAGCTCCATGTTCTTCTGCACCAAAGATTTCCTCTCCTACGTCCTAGCATAGAAAGCCTTCTAAACGATACCTAAGATTAATCTGTTAATGTGTAGCATGCCTACTACCATGAAAATGTCAAGTTAATACTGCCAAATCAATCGATTTATTCAAAATCTTGATGAACCACTCATACAGGAATATTTATCAGAATACATTGCCCTCTTTTATGCTAAGCTTTTTCTATGGTGGTGTCTTGGTTGGTTTTATTCGGTGTCAACCAATTACCAATCACAATACTCGTGGAAGAAATGCAATGGCTGTGAAGCTATTAATTAAGACCTAATTTGGTTAAAGCATATAAGTAGCAGCGCTGTGAAGCTATTAATTAAGGTCATCTAATTCACAAACCCTTTTGTTATTAAAGCATGAGACCTAACAATATTTGACTCCAAGGCATTTACATATAAGACAGTGCTGTGTAGAGAGCTCAAATAACCAAAAGAAACGCGCGACTCTACCACATAAACAAATACATACAATAGAGATGCGTCAAGGGAAGCGGCGGTCGGTAGATGAGGCAGCGGCGGTCGGCAGATGAGGCAGCGGCAGTCGGCGGAGACAACGTCATCGGCGGTGAGCAGTCGGAGGAAAATCGCAACGGTGGGCGTTAGGGGAGGAGAGACAACTGAGATAGGCAAATGGCGGAACGCAAAATACTTAGGGTTAGGATAGCTTGTTTATTATGTTCAGCATTAATTAATTAATTTGTCAAATATAGCTACGGATTTCGATATCCGTAGCTAGAGTTAACAAAATCCGCCTTGTTTATTTTAAAATCCCGCTAGTAATATGGCGACGGATTTGAAAATCCGTCGCTAGAGTGTTTAAAATAACAAGCTTTGTCAGTTTAGCGACGGATTCTGAATCCGTCGTTAAAATGTTAAAATTTGATTGGTAAATTTAGCGATGGATTTGAGAATCCGTCGCTATATATAGAGACGGATCATCAAATCCGTCGCTAAAATGTAAAACAAAACAAATCCAGCTTCAAAATGTTGCGACGAATTAATATATCCGTAGCTAATGTGTAGCAATTAAAATTATGGAATTAACCCGTCACAAAATTGTCTCTAAATTTTGCGCTAAAATTAGCTAGATATTTAACGACGGAAAAATTCGGTCGCAAAATCCATCGCAAATCTGTCGCTATCTGTCACTAATTTGTCGCTATTCCGTCGCTAAATTAGCAACGGAATGAGTCCGTCGCTAAATCCATCGCTATTTTCGCGTTTTTTTGTAGTGGTGGGAATTCGCATGTTCGGGTATTGATTATGTTTAGAAGTCATGTTAGGATGTGTTCATTATGATTCTTGGTTTTGATCCGTAATTTGACTACGTGGTGTTGTCGTTTATGTTTAAAAGTGTCTAAATATGGTTTCGGGTTCCACGGAAAATCCCGGGACCAAAATATTGAAAAAGAGTCAGTGGGGGTAGGTGGGGGTAGGGGGACTCGCCACCTACCCGCTGCCCGGAGACTCGTCGCCGGCGGGTGGCCCTCCACCCGCCGGCCACCCGCTAGATTGTTCCCACCTTGGGATTTTGGCTTCCCCGTTTGATGTTCTCCGACCCTCGTGGTGTCCCGATGGACTCCGTTTATCGTGCCTAAGTCTAGTTTGACGTTTCGGGTACCATTCGTAACACAAAAGAGTCTTGTGTATTGCATGCTAGTTGAATTGGTACCCCGTTGACCTAGGTGAGAGATGCATGAACCCTTAGGATATTTACTAGTACGTGGATGACCACACATAGGTTTCTTTACACGCTTTCCCCCTTCCCACAACGTGATAATATGAATTGCATGTGCTTGCTACGTGATAAATGTGCATGACTCCCCAATATTGGCTGCGGTCAAGTTTGTTCTCATAGGCTGCAGTCCACTGACTGAGCTCGTCATCGGTGTGTAGGGTTGCAGTTCACCAAGTGGGCCTCGTGTGCTGTAGTCCACCAACTGAACGCGTCAGCGGTGTGTAGGGCTACAGTCCACGAGGAAGGCCATAGTCCACCGACTGAGCTCGTCAGCGGTGTGTAGGGCAATGGTCGGCTGCGATCCACCGACTGAGCTCGTCAGCGGTGTGTAGGATCGTAGTCCCCAAAGAGGATCACAGTCCACCGACTGAACGCGTCAGTGGTGTGTAGGACTGTGGTCCGCCGTTGAGCTCGTCAACGGTCTAATCGGTTGGCTGCGGTCAATCCCTTCATGCTACGGTATGAGGTAGTGTGTTGCGGGGCCATGTTAGCACTATATGCGCTAACCCTCATGTATGGGCATGCGATTTGTCCTGTGGCGCCGCCAAAGTGTGTTTATATGATACAGATGATTGGTTGAAAGATGACATGAATGAAGTGAAATTAAACTGTGACCTTAAGATGCATAATGATATCTTTATATACTTGATTATAACTATTGAGTGTGCTTATCCCTATCTGTCGAGTCGGATTCCTAGTTTTTAAAGCTAGAGTCTCCTAAGTATATATCTTCCTGCTTCAAAATAGTTTTCCTATATCTTTATCTATATATATATATATATATATATATATATATATATATATATATATATATATATATATATATATGTGTGTGTGTGTGTGTGTGTGTGTGTGTGTGTGTGTGTGTGTGTGTGTATATATATATATATATACCAATATTGTATTTTAACGCGTTGGAGTGGGTTACCAGCATTATTCGCTGAACAGATATATTTGGCTTTCAGGGACAGATGAGTAGACTCCGGAGCTCGCTAGAGATCCAAAGCATAGATAGTTAGTTTTCTTTTCGGCCTACGTGCCATCATGATGTGTTGACATTGCTTTGATGATATTTAGTTAGTATAGCCTGTGCATCTGAGTTCTCCAGCTCAGATGTGGCATAGCACCCCGAACAGTTATGTTTAGTAATGCTCTGTTTTGGAATTTAATGAGAAATTACCTTTATTATATAAGTTTTAAAAGTTTTGAAAATCTGGGGTGTTACAGATGGTATCAGAGCCTATGTTTGACTCTAGGATAAGACTCTTAAGACCGGACTTTTGGACATCAGGCTTAAACTCTAGGTATTTAGGAACATAGGATTCAGGAATCTTTGGACGCGCGGTGAGATTGTGAGCCTACCTATCGTTACCTTATCTTTTTTTTTTTTATTTAAAGAACTTCCCCCTTCGCTTATCGCATCAAGGTATGGGTGAAACACACTAACTCATTAATACAAATGCACATTTACCCTGTAGACCGACGATATAGCACCAAACAGAAGACAGTCAGGGACTCCGGAAATACTAAGCGACGTACACTCCGCAATAACAACAGACCGCCGCCACCACCAAACACAAACTCGGAAATCACATGACAAGTTTCAAATCATCGACCGTCCATCTTCTCGGGGGAAGAAGACCCCGCAATCCTCGAAGAATGGATTCGCACCCTCGACAAGATCCGGGGATTGGTGGAATGACCAGAAGAATGCCGTGTAGAGATAACCTCGTTCTACTTCGGACACGAGGACGACCTTTGGTGGATCCACGAAGGACCCACTTATAGACGAGAACCAGGGTTCAACTGGGAGAACCTAAAAACACGACTGCGAGAGCGATTCTACCTAGCCCAGATGAGAGAATCCATGTACAAAGAGTTCCTCCACCTAAAACAAGGGATGACCACCATCATGGAGTACCACAAACAGTTCCTCGAGCTAGCCCGTTTCGCACCAGAACTGGTCCCTACCGAGACAACCAAAATAGAAAGATTTATATCGGGCCTCAACTTCGAAGCCCGGAAGGCACTAATCGTAAGCGGACCCCGGACCCTCAATGAGGCTTACTACAGTGCCGTCAACCTCTTTCGAATCAAACTACTACAACATGGGATCCATGAACAGATTCATAGGAGAAAATGGGAGGTGGAGCGCCACCCGTAAAAAGAACGAGAAACGGCACTAACACAAGGCCAGGCAACCCGGCAGGCCAAAGGCCGCCTCTAAGGAACAACGAACCTAATACGAGGCCCTCCCTTTGCCAAAAATGTAACAAGGATCACAAAGGCACTGACTGCAGGGGAAACCCCTAGCAATGTTTCAACTACGGAGGGGAAGGCCACAGGTCCTTCCACTGCCCCCAACTCCCGAACTCAGGCCCCACAGCCATGAGCCAACACGGAGGCTCGAGTAACCAAGGGAATTATGGATCCCCCGGAAAGGTGTTCGTCATGAGCCACACTCAGGCCGAACTTGAAAACGAACACAACTTCAACGAGGAAAACATGGCTCCTGGAGACGAGGACCCCACAAACCAATCAGAAGAATACCAAGGGGACGAATTCTGCTTAGGATGATTAGAAAACCCCCTGTAACCACCCCCGTAGTAAAGTTAGTTGTCTAGTTTAGCTACTTCGGAATTATTATAAATAAAGAAACGAAATCGAAATAAATTAGCATAAGAAAAAAAAGGTCTGGACTATCCCGAGGACCCATGAGTCACCAAAGTCAAACACCCATTAAAAGACAAAAAGTCCAACAAGGAAAACCGGTCAAACCTCTTACCACTAGAAGAAAAAAAACAAAGGAACCCAAAGGGGTGCACAACAAAGAAATCTAATGTTATCAATTGGAATGGAACTTTAAACCTCTCATTGCATGACCAAAGCCTTAACTACTAAGCTATGAGTATTTCTTAAAACCTTAAGGGAACACTCCCTTCTTAAACCCCACTAAAATTCCTAAAACCCACAAAATCCCCAAATCAAAAAACCATTCTTCTTCTTCCTCCCTCACACCCCCTCTCCCTCTCCTCCTCTCTCTCTCGCCTCTCCCCGCCAACCGGCACCACCCGAACACCACAGCAGCCCACCCCACCAGCGGCCGCCGACAGCCACCCGGGCGACACCCCCACCGTACGCCTGCCATAGCCACCTCGAAAGCCGCCCGCGTCGCTGCCACCGCCCGTGCTCGCCCGGCCGCACCCCACTGCCACACACCGCCGCTGCAAGCACAGCCCCTGCTCCGCCCAGGTCCACCGCACCCTCGCCGTCGACCCCGAGTCGTCGCCAAGGCCGAGCCACGCCGCCACCCCATCACCGGAACCCTGCCGGAGTTTCGCCGGAAAAACATCGTCGGAAAAACACCACCTTAGAAAATCTCACAATGCCGAAAAAGCCCGTTGGAATCCGAACCCCGAAGTGGAACAACGCCGATTACATGGTGATTGGAGGTAAAGCCCTCGAACCCGATCAATTCTCTCCGGAGTTGGTCGACGTACTTAATTTCCAAGGGCTTTTGGATACCTATCTCACAATCAAGGGAGATACGTACCCTGAGTTGGATAAAGAATTCTATCACCACTTGGTAGACGTCAAACGGGGTGATAAAATGGAAATCACCACCAAGTTCCGGGGCAAAGAAATAGTGCTCTCCGAAGGGCGCTTGGCCAAACTCCTAAAACTGACCACCACGGGTGCGTCAGATTATGACCGAAAGGCATGGATCGGTACCCAAGGCACGGGGTACAAGGATTACCTCGGGTACCTACTCGGAAAGGAAGATGGCTTCACCTCGGCCACCCGGCCAAACAATAAATGGCTAACCGCTGAACAAAAGATACTAGTTATGATTGTAACTGATAGCTTGTTGCCCACGAACAACAAAAGCAAAG